ATATAATATAAGCTCTGGCGGACTTGGTTCTATGGTAGGTCTTAAAGGGTTAAAGACAGGCAAAAAGTAACTAGAGTAATGAAAGGTGTGCTGACATCTGGTGCATTGAATCGCGTTTGCTGTGGCTCCATTTGTGATATAGTAACTCAAAACTGTCGGTTTTTAATTTGACATAAGGGCAGATATCTTACTCTTGTACTTTAAAGTAATGCGATTACCTGAATGTTAAATGATTCAAATCTGTAGCACCTTAAAGTGATGTTGCAGCAGAGTGCGCTCCTGTGGTGAGCCGTGTTATAGGATCAGTTTCACTTCAGGAGAAATGCTCGTATGCAGTCCTGTGTTAGCAAAGCCTCGTCTGGTGTGGAAACAGTTGTTTCTATTAGCGACGAGTGAAATTATCACACAGCACTGGCATCTTTGTGTCAGCCATTGAGAAGAACGATGGAGGAACCGCTCTGCTTGCATTACGATACAGGGCCTGTGCGCATTAGTGTGCCATCATCTTCTGTAGTTCTTTGTAATGTTAAACCTTTGAACTGCTTCCAAAATTGCAACATCCTCCTTTTAAGTGCGAGTAGCTTCTGTAAACAATGAGACGAATCTGTCAGGATGATCCAGAAAAGACTGAAGAGGAAAGTAAATATTAGCGACCATTAAGCCATCATCGCGGTTACTTAAAAAACTTTATTTATAAAATCTTTCAAGAGTTCCTGTGTCGCTCCGCTCCGTACAGCTTCCCTCAGGAATGTTTCTTATCAGCGCTCCAGCTCCAGCATTGTCTCTGCTCTGTTGACTTTCCGGGTTGACGGTGCAGTCATTCAGCTTTTATTGTGCGTTGTGAAATGTCTACGACCGAGTGCCACACATGCTGCGTAAGGACTTCTAAAACCTTCATTATTTTTCTTCTCCCTGTTCAGGAGGAGCCCAAAAAAGTGTGTTTCAACTACGACCTTTTCCTCAACTTGGAGGGCAACCCACCAGTCAACCACCTGCGCTGTGAGAAGCTCACCTTCAACAACCCCACCAAAGAATTCAGGAGAAAGCTGATCAAAGCTGGAGGGGTGAGGCTGCCTGACACTTTGGCTCGTAGCCAGGCTGACTGACTGAGAGCTAAATGGCTGATCAAAGTGAATATCAGACGCTAATAGTAGCACGTACGCCACACTGTATTTTAGCGTTAATGTGGGAGGAGTCGTTGGCGCTAAGTGTTTTTTTCCTGTTCTCGACTCCCATTTTAATCCTTTAAGAGCCGCAGATAACCCGCATTGAGGAGATCACTTAAAGTCTTAAAAAGCATTGATTTACGTTAAAAAGGGGTCTTAGAAGGAATTAAACCCTGAGATTTCACTTTGAAAAGTATGTTTCTTCTTCTTTGTGCTCTTTTTGTGTGTGTGAGAGAGATCGGGAGCTGCTGGGATGTTGCACACGCCATTGCCCGAACGCTAAATGCGGGATTGTGTGAACACGAGGACGCTGAATCGGTTTAGTCAGCACTGCGGCTGATAAATAAGAAAGTGTGACTTAAAGAATCCACATATGCTGTAAATTGTTACGTTGTTACATTATTTGAATCAATTCTATAATTAGAAAACGTTTATGTCCCTGCTGTTTCCCCCTTGGGCTAATGAAGGGATTTTTATTCAGTTTAAAAATATCTTTAATTTGGCTGAATAATGTGATCCTGTTTAGGTGACCTCACGTCAGAGATTCATTTTAACCTCCTAAGAACCGAACTCTTTCACAGCATTTTTAATTTCTTTTTGCTGTTTGGGCTGATTGAGACCTGATGAATGTAAAAACAAAGAATTACATGATTATTTTTTATTTATTTACCTGATTTTTGTTTCTGAGAAAAA